TAGGGTGTAGTTACAGTGCTGTAGCTCTAGAGGGCAGCATTGGACAGTGCATTACAGTAACAAACCATGATGTTCATAGCAGTGGATGGGGCATCAGGTCATGCATGGTCTATTTTATCCTGTAAATCTTAACTGTGAGTTTATTTTAAATCCAGTTTAGAGTTTGACTTGATGTAGTACTGATGAAATCCAGATATAATGTTATATAATATATTACAAAGGCTATAATGTGTTTATAAATTGGCCAACATTCACACACAATAAATACAAGTAGAGCACATTTTAAAACCAAAACGTTTTTATTTTTCTTCTGATACAAAAGTTTTTTATTTTTTAAATACACTTGTTTTTAGGTTTTTGATTCTTTTTTATTTTACAAAGATAAATTAGCATTTCTTATAATACATTAAAGACATCAAACACCTGTTTCTCTTTACAAAATAGTTCATTTTCTAAAAGTACATTTTCCAAAGGTCTTCGGTACTAACAGGTTAAAAATCACACTTCAAAGGGCAATTCCCAAACCACACCCTATTCCTCATAGTGTACTACTTTTGACCTGGTCACTATATGGGGAATGATAGGGTTGCATTTGAGACCTATTAACCAGAGTGTCATACATTGACTCACAGAAACAGAGGACTTGTCTGGCATAGACTGGCAACACAGTATAGAAGTAGAGAGACAGACAGCAGTAACAGAGTAGAGAGACAGGCTGCAGTAACAGAGTAGAGAGACAGGCAGCAGTAACAGAGTAGAGAGACAGGCTGCAGTAAGAGAGTAGAGAGACAGGCTGCAGTAACAGAGTAGAAGACAGGCTGCAGTAAGAGTAGAGAGACAGGCTGCAGTAACAGAGTAGAGAGACAGGCAGCAGTAACAGAGTAGAGAGACAGGCAGCAGTAACAGAGTAGAGAGACAGGCAGCAGTAAGAGAGTAGAGAGACAGGCTGCAGTAACAGAGTAGAGAGACAGGCTGCAGTAACAGAGTAGAGAGACGGCGCGTAACAGAGTAGAGAGACAGCAGCAGTAACAGAGTAGAGAGACAGGCAGCAGTAACGAGTAGAGAGACGGGCAGCAGTAACAGAGTAGAGAGACGGCAGGTAACAGAGTAGAGAGACGGCACCCAGTAAGAGAGTGGGAGAGACAGGCAGCAGTAACAGAGTAGAGAGACAGGCAGCAGTAACAAGTAGGAGACAGGCTGCAGTAACAGAGTAGAGAGACAGGCAGCATTTAACAGAGTAGAGAGACGGCAGCATAAACAAGGTAGAGACAGGCAAGCAGTAACAGAGTAGAGAGACAGGCTGCAGTAACAGAGTAGAGAGACGGGCCCACAGTAACAGATTTAGAGAGACCAGGCTGCAGTAACAGAGTAGAGTAGAGAGACAGGCTCAGTAACAGAGTAAGAGACAGGCTGCAGTAACAGAGTAGAGAGACAGGCAGCATAACAGAGTAGAGAGACAGGCTGCAGTAACAGAGTAGAGAGACAGGCTTGCAGTAACAAGTAGAGAGACAGGCAGCAGTAACAGAGTGAGAGACAAGGCTGCAGTAACAGAGTAGAGTAGAGAGACAGGCTGCAGTAAGAGAGTAGGAGACAGGCTGCAGTAACAGAGTAGAGAGACAGCAGCAGTAACAGATAGAGAGACAGGCAGCAGTAACAGAGTAGAGAGACAGCAGCAGTAAGAGAGTAGAGAGACAGGCTGCAGTAAGAGAGTAGAGAGACGGCTGCAGTAACAGAGTAGAGAGACAGGCAGCAGTAACAGAGTAGAGAGACAGCTGCAGTAACAGTATGAGAGACAGGCTGCAGTAAACAGAGTAGAGAGACAGGCACGTAACAGAGTAGAGAGACAGGCAGCAGTAACAGAGTAGAGAGACAGGCAGCATGTAACAGAGTAAGAGACAGGCTGCAGTAACAGAGTAGAGAGACAGGCAGCAGTAACAGAGTAAGGAGACGGCAGCATAAGAGAGTAGAGAGACAGGCAGCAGTAAGAGAGTAGAGAGCAGACAGCAGTAACAGAGTAGAGAGACAGGCTGCAGTAACAGAGATAGAAGACAGGCACAGTAACAGAGTAGAGAGACAGGCAGCAGTAACAGAGTAGAGAGACAGGCAGCAGTAACAGAGTAGGAGACAGCAGCAGTAACAGAGTAGAGACAGGCTGCAGTAACAGAGTAGAGTAGAGAGACAGGGCAGCAGTAACAGAGTAGAGAGACAGGCAGCAGTACAGAGTAGCGAGACAGGCAGCAGTAAGAGAGTAGAGAGACAGACAGCAGTAACAGAGTAAGAGAGACAGCAGCAGTAAGAGAGTAGAGAGACAGGCTGCAGTAAGAGAGTAGAGAGACGCTGCAGTAACAGAGTAGAGAGACAGGCAGCAGTAACAAGTAGGAGACAGCTGCAGTAACAGAGTAGAGAGACAGCAGCAGTAACAGAGTAGAGAGACAGGCTGCAGTAACAGAGTAGAGAGACAGGCTGCAGTAACAGAGTAGAGAGACAGGCTGCAGTAACAGAGTAGTAAGAGACAGCAGCAGTAACAGAGTAAGAGACAGGCTGCAGTAACAGAGTAGAGAGACAGGCAGCAGTAACAGAGTAGAGAGACAGGCAGCAGTAACAGAGTAGAAGACAGGCTGCAGTAACAGAGTAGAGTAGAGACAGGCTGCAGTAAGAGAGTAGAGAGACAGGCTCAGTAACAGAGTAGAGAGACAGGCAGCAGTAACAGAGTAGAGAGACAGGCAGCAGTACAGAGTAGTAGAACAGGCTGCAGTAACAGAGTAGAGGACAGGCTGCAGTAACAGAGTATAGAGTAGAGACAGGCTTGCAGTAAGAGAGTAGAGAGACAGGCTGCAGTACAGAGTAGAGAGACAGGCAGCAGTAACAGAGTAAGAGACAGCAGCAGTAACAGAGTAGAGAGACATGGCAGCTAAGAGAGTAGAGAGACAGGCTTGCAGTAAGAGAGTAGAGAGACAAGCTGCAGTAACAGAGTAGAGAGACAGGCAGCAGTAACAGAGTAGAGAGACAGGCAGCAGTAACAGAGTAGAGAGACAGGCTGCAGTAAGAGAGTAGAGAGACAGGCTGCAGTAAGAGAGTAGAGAGACAGGCTGCAGTAACAGAGTAGAGAGACAGGCTGCAGTAACAGAGTAGAGAGACAGGCAGCAGTAACAGAGTAGGAGAGACGGCAGCAGTAACAGAGTAGAGAGACAGGCAGCAGTAAGAGAGTAGAGAGACGGGCAGCAGTAACAGAGTAGAGAGACAGGCTGCAGTAACAGAGTAGAGAGACGGGCAGCCGTAACAGAGTAGAGAGACAGGCAGCAGTAACAGAGTAGAGTAGAGAGACAGGCAGCAGTAACAGAGTAGAGAGACAGGCAGCAGTAAGAGAGTAGAGAGACAGGCAGCAGTAACAGAGTAGAGAGACAGGCTGCAGTAACAGAGTAGAGAGACAGGCTGCAGTAACAGAGTAGAGAGACAGGCAGCAGTAACAGAGTAGAGAGACAGGCAGCAGTAAACAGAGTAAGTAAGAGACAGGCAGCACGTAACAGAGTAGAGAGACAGGCAGCAGTAACAGAGTAGAGAGACAGGCAGCAGTAACAGAGTAGAGTAGAGAGACAGGCAGCAGTAACAGAGTAGAGTAGAGAGACAGGCAGCAGTAACAGAGTAGAGAGACAGGCTGCAGTAACAGAGTAGAGAGACAGGCAGCAGTAACAGAGTAGAGAGACAGGCAGCAGTAACAGAGTAGAGTAGAGAGACAGGCAGCAGTAACAGAGTAGAGAGACAGGCTGCAGTAACAGAGTAGAGTAGAGAGACAGGCAGCAGTAACAGAGTAGAGTAGAGAGACAGGCTGCAGTACAGAGTAGAGTAGAGAGACAGGCAAGCAGTAACAGGTAAGAGACAGGCTGCAGTAACAGAGTAGAGAGACAGGCAGCAGTAACAGAGTAGAGAGACAGGCAGCAGTAACAAGTAGAGTAGAGAGACAGGCAGCAGTAACAGAGTAGAGAGACAGGCTGCAGTAACAGAGTAGAGTAGAGAGACAGGCTGCAGTAACAGAGTAGAGTAGAGAGACAGGCAGCAGTAACAGAGTAGAGAGACAGGCTGCAGTAACAGAGTAGAGAGACAGGCTGCAGTAACAGAGTAGAGAGACAGGCAGCAGTAACAGAGTAGAGAGACAGGCAGCAGTAACAGAGTAGAGAGACAGGCAGCAGTAACAGAGTAGAGTAGAGAGACAGGCAGCAGTAACAGAGTAGAGAGACAGGCAGCAGTAACAGAGTAGAGAGACAGGCTGCAGTACATAGTAGAGAGACAGGCTGCAGTAAGAGAGTAGAGAGACAGGCAGCAGTAAGAGAGTAGAGAGACAGGCTGCAGTACAAGTGAGAGACAGGCAGCAGTAACAGTAGAGAGACAGGCTGCAGTAAGAGAGTAGAGAGACAGGCTGCAGTAAGAGAGTAGAGAGACAGGCAGCAGTAACAGAGTAGAGAGACAGGCTGCAGTAACAGAGTAGAGTAGAGAGACAGGCAGCAGTAACAGAGCAGAGAGACAGGCTGCAGTAACAGAGTAGAGAGACAGGCAGCAGTAACAGAGTAGAGAGACAGGCAGCAGTAACAGAGTAGAGAGACAGGCTGCAGTAACAGAGTAGAGAGACAGGCAGCAGTAACAGAGTAGAGAGACAGGCAGCAGTAACAGAGTAGAGAGACAGGCAGCAGTAACAGAGTAGAGAGACAGCTCATAAGAGATAGAGAGACAGGCCAGCATAACAGAGTAGAGAGACAGGCAGCAGTAACAGAGTAGAGAGACAGGCAGCAGTAACAGAGTAGAGAGACAGGCAGCAGTAAGAGAGTAGAGTCCCTCTGTCTCTCTGCTGTGTGTGTTTGTGTTTGACTGTCTCATGATGGTCGCAGCTTAATGCAATAATAACTCAGCTGATGCAGCAGATTTGATGGGAGTGGATTGCACAAGGGTGAACAGTAGAGACTGTATGAGTTTTACTCCCTGTGTGTGTGTGTCTCTATGTGTGTGTTTCTCTGTTGGTGTATTATAGCATTTGCATAATGTATTTTGGGGGTTGATTGTCTAACATCATTCATAATAACCGTTAATTCACTTCCATAACCGGTTAAAAAAAGATAATGAACCTTACACCAGTTCATTACTGACCACCATTCCTAAGGGTTCCATGAGTGACTGGAGAAGGTCAAGGGTTAAAGTTCAGAGTTCATAGTTGAGTTTCTGTTTCCTCGTTAAGACTGTGTGGAGGTCAGCTGTGGTGCTCGCTGAGGACTGAGGTAAAGGACACAGGCCTACGTTTCCCAAGTGCCTTAGCTGCAGTGCCATAGAGTCTAGTCACTACAAATCCCAGGTGCCTTTGCAGTAGCATAGCTTTATGGCCTCCAGAGTGTGGCTGGCTGTGCAGCCCAGCCTGCCGATCCTCATAAGGCACGTTAGTCAAGATACATCCACATCAGCTAGTCATAGTGCATTTCAGTGTGGCTGTAGTTTAGATCTGTACATCATCTGCACAATGACTCTCCAGTGTAAATTAAACCTTTAAAACTACTGTCTAAAGTCAGAAGGGTCCTGTAGATCAGCCCAGAGCCTGCTGTAGCCTACAGGGTCAGTCTCTTCTCTGGCGGTGGGTTAGAGTCTGCTAGGAGGGAGAGAATCACAGACACAGTGGGCAAAGGAGACCGCTGTCTGCTTAGTGGTGCTATTGATCTGTCTGTCCTTCTCTCGTTCCCTCTCTCCATCAGGTAGTGGATCTAGCAGTGGGTTTGGGGGCAGGTTTGCTTTAAAAAGCCACCCGGTTCCTATCTTCCTCTCTCTCTCTATCCCTTTCTCTCCCTCTCTCTACTCACACCACCGTCTCATTTCCCTTGCCAGGTTTTATCCAGCTGTCCCCCGGTGCCCGCTTGCCCCTTCCTGCCCGGCCGTCCCTCCACAGGCGGGCAGAGCAGCGTTGCCAGGTGTGGAAGGTCTTGGCCGACCAGATCCACATGCCCGACGTGATGCCCACCAGCAGAGACATAAAGATCCTCAGCATCTCTGCTGCCACGTATGAGTCCCTGGCACTGGCCCTGAAGTCCCCCCAGTGGGACAGCTGGTAGAGGTAGCAGCCTATCACAGTGGATGCAGGCACCATGTACAGCACAGAGAACACCCCGATTTTCACCATCAGACGCTCCAGCTTGTCCGTCTTGGCCCCATCCTTCTGTAGGTTGGAGCGGATCTTGAACAGGGCCACCAGGCCGGCGCAGATGAACAGTGTCCCGATGAGGAGGTAGGTGGCGAGCGGCGCGACCACGAAGCCCGTCAGCGCCTCCTGCTGTAGGTTACCCACGTAGCAAAGCCCTGTGAGGTCATCAGCGTCTACTAGTCGCATGATGAGGATGACGATGGTCTTGACGGCGGGGATGGCCCAGGCTGCTATGTGGAAGTAGGAGCTGTGCATCTCGATGGCCTCGTGACCCCACTTTAACCCTGCAGCCAGGAACCAGGTCAGAGTCAGGATCACCCACCTGGGAGGAGGCAGCGAGCGAGACGGGTTAGAGAGCTGGGAGTCGACTGTTCTAATAGTTTCATTCAAATCTATTCCTTACAGTGTAATACCTTTGGCCAGAGTGTGTGTGTGTGTGTGTGTGTGTGTGTGTGTGTGTGTGTGTGTGTGTGTGTGTGTGTGTGTGTGTGTGTGTGTGTGCCCACCACAGCGAGGAGGCCATGCCAAAGAAGTAGAGCAGTAGGAAGACGATGGCACAGCTGGTGTTCTTTAACCCCTCCTGTACCAGAACAGGCACCGCTGCCTCCTCCAGATCACAGGACACACGCTCCCGACCCAGAGTCAGGCGCACCTACAGGGAGACACAGACAGACACAGGGTTAGACATGGATCAGGTCATACAGGAGACCAGGGGTCATCAGGTCATCCAGGAGACTAGGGGTCATCAGGTCATACAGGAGACCAGGGGTCATCAGGTCATCCAGGAGACTAGGGGTCATCAGGTCATACAGGAGACCAGGGGTCATCAGGTCACCCAGGAGACTAGGGGTCATCAGGTCACACAGGAGACCAGGGGTCATCCAGGAGACATGGGGTCATCAGGTCACACAGGAGACCAGGGGTCAACAGGTCATCCAGTGGTCATCAGGTCATCCAGGAGACCAGGGGTCATCAGGTCATCCAGGAGTCCAGGGGTCATCAGGTCATCCAGGAGACCAGGGGTCATCAGGTCATCCAGGAGACCAGGGCTGGGTCTACATACTCTAGCATGGCTTCCTGTCCTTATCTACATTCCTCATCACTACTGGTAGCTGAAAGGGCTGGACAGGTTTACAACAAACTGCTTCCACCTCTCATATTAGTGATCATGGAGAAGAGAAGGCTAGTTTCAACTATTGAGAAACAGCCCAGGGCTTTAAGCATGATTTTAATCATCCAAGTCAGGGGTAGGCAACCCTGGTCTTGGAGTGCCGCAGGTGCTGCAGGATTTTGTTCAAACTAGGCACCACACCACAACTGAGCTCATTGATCAGTTCAGTGGTTACCTAAATTCAACACACCTGTGGCACTCCAGGACCAGGGTTGCCTACCCCCTGCTCTAAGTCCCGTGTCCTCACCAGGTAGGCGACGCTGTAGAGGTTGGAGCACATGGAGAGGAAGATGATGGGTCTCTCGGGGTAGGAGAAGCGTGTTGAGTCCAGGAGGAAAGTGAGGACGGTCAGAGTGGTGGAGAGGAAACATAACACTGCCCACACTGCCATCCACACGTCTGTAAACACCTTGGCACCGCGCCGGTACAGCCCTGCGTCATACCCACACTGCAGCGCACAGCTGTGGCTCCGCCTCACCCAGGCATACTGGTCTGGCCCTGCCCCCAGGGCCTGGCACTCCTCCTCCTGGGGCGGCAGGGGCCGGACGGGGTGGAAAGGGGCGTCCTCGTCCCCTGGACCCTCCATACACATGTGGTTGTGGTCGTTCTGAGGGGGGAACAGACTGCAGTTGAGCAGCTCTGGCCAGACGAAGCCAAACTCTATTAGGACAGGCAGGCACTTCCTCTTGACAGACAGACACATGCTGCCACACGGCCCAATGGGGATGGGAACCTTGTCTGTACACATGGGCACGTACACCGCACACAGGAAGAACTGGAGAGAGAGAGAGAGAGAGAGAGAGAGAGAGAGAGAGGAGAGAGAGAGAAGAGAGCAGAGAGGAGAGAGCGAGAGAGAGAGAGAGAGAGAGAGAGAGAGAGAGAGAGAGAGAGAGAGAGAGAGAGAGAGAGAGAGAGAGAGGAGAGAGAGAGAGAGAGAGAGAGAGACGAGAGAGAGAGAGAGAGGAGAGAGGAGAGAGAGAAGAGAGAGAGAGAGAGAGAGAGAGAGAGAGAGAGAGAGAGAGAGAGAGAGAGAGAGAGAGAGAGAGAGAGAGGTGTTATCTTTGCATATGTACACTTAATTAATTTCTAAAATAGTTTGATGATTCTGTGTGCATTGCCCTGTCTGCTTTCCCTGTGTTGCATCATGGTCCTTAGTCTGCTTCCTATTCTAATTTCAGACTACAACTGGAAATGAAAGGAACTGTGTTTTGAGCTTAGTCAGGAAAACCAGGCAACTATCACAAAAGTGAATTTCAAAATGATTATTAAAAGCCACTACAACAAATAAACAGGTAATTCAAGAGTCATACAGACAATGTCCTGGAGAGATGAACGTATGAGGAACTTTAACTGGGAGGGACAAACTCTAATCTGACTCTCTGTTCAGCATACTGCAGTAAAGATAACTGTCTAGCCATAAACACACCATCTCTACAAGTGAATGTGTCGGGCTAAGTTGTGTGTGTGTGTGTGTGGGGGGGGGGGGGTCTACCCTGTGGCGTGGGAAGCCGAGGGAAGCGCAGGGCGTCATTGTGAGAGTGTGAGAGATGATATCAGTGATGTTTCTCTCTGTTGGAGCTGTGCTACTGTTCTCTGATCACTAGCTGGACTGCAGAAGGCTTGTTTTCCTCCCTCCACTGCAGGTAACCTGAGTGCCGCCTCTGTTCACGGCCCAGTTTGTGTTTGTGTGTGTGGATACCTGAGGGATTCTTCTTATTAGAAAAGCAATGTGCAAGATCTAGTTTCCATTATCTCAGGTTAATGTCAGAGTGTGTGTGTGTGTGTGTGTGTGTGTGTGTGTGTGGTGTGTGTGTGTGTGTGTGTGTGTGTGTGTGTGTGTGTGTGTGTGTGTGTGTAAGAAAGAGCCTAATCTGTTGGATGGCGACTTTTCACGGCCGTCAGTCCGGAATGCTCACATAGCACGCTCACACACTGAACCACAAGAGACAGACAACCATAACACAACCATAACACAACCATAACACAAACAACACAAACCCATAATCACACCAATAACCTATAGCATCCAGACAACTACAAAGCCACAATAATACCACAAAAGCCCTTAAATCAATTAGAATTGGACTAATGGACTGACTGTATGTTAATGAATGTCAATGGTCAGGGTAAGGGATGCCCTTAGAGACAGAGTTGCCAGTGGGTTGCTGTGTCTATAGACTATGGAGTGGTAAACCACACTAAATATCAACAGAACTGGATCCATTCATCATGACATTTCCATCTAACCACACAAATAACTACTCATTGGTCATTTCAGTCAGGACATTAAAAACCTTATGAGAAAGACAAAATGGGAAGGATTTAATGTCTAGCTTCATGGTGGCTCAGGCAGACAAGTGGCCTTACAGAGAGTAGTACTGAGGGCAGCATTGTTGTTGCCCTGTGGAGCTGGCCTGGTCCTCTCCTCAGACATGTATTATCTCACTGCCCCATGCTGCTGAACCAAGACTGGCTGGTCTCCCTGTGACTGTCATGTGCTCTCTGTCTCTCTCCACTAAACACTGCCTGCTCCAACACACAGCCCGGCCCAGCCCAGCCTGAGAACCAACATGTTTGTGCCTTTAGTGGGCTGGAGCAGCTAGAGAGAGTGTGTGTGTGTGTGTGGGGACTTTTTTCAGGTTACAATTAGGGGTAGGGGTTAGGAGTTAGGGCGGCAGGTAGCCTAGAGGTTAAGAGTATTAGGCCAGTAACTGAAAGGTTGCTGATTCGAATCCCTGAGTTGACTAGGGTGAAACATCTGTCGATGTACCCTTGAGCAAGGCACTTAACCCTAATTGCTCCTGTAAATCGCTCTGAATAAGAGCCTTTGCTAAAAAATGTACTGAAATGTAAAATGAGGTTTGTTAGGTTTAGGGAAAATATGACTTTGAATGGAAATCAATTTGAGGTCCACACAAGGATAGTAGTGCGTGCGCGTGTGTGTACCTTCAGCTGGCTGGAGCAGCCATACTGTATGAGTGGTGTGAAGGTGGTGAGCTGGAGCTCGGCGTCTGACTGCAGGACGTTGCCCACCAGGTTGGGCATCTTGGTGACGTTGTAGCCCAGGTCCTGGCACATGGCGATGCGTATCGGGTCGCACGTCATCTCCTCTGTCTCATCGCCGAACGCACGCACCAGACCAAGGGGTCCTGGAACGCACAGCAGCGCGAGGGAGAGCGCTACGGCCGCAAGAGCGTCCACAGCCCGATCCATTGTCACGAGGGGGGAAAGTTCCAAAGTTATCCCGCTAAGAATTCAAAGTTATCAATTGATCGGGTTCCGGGCGTTGCCTGGTAGACTAGTCCACCGGGAACTGGGGAAACGTTAGTCCACTTCAGAGTGCGCGGTCAGCGGCTGTTTATCCCCGCTCCTGGCTCGCCAAGACGAAACCCTCCACTGGAAGCACAGTTGGTAGCCTACTCCAACCCGTCAAGCGAAGTTGGAAACAACGTATCCAAAGGCAATAATAAAAGGAACTGTTATAGCCAGATTTTCCTTGCAATTAGACTCCTGCCTCGCTTTGCAGTATCTGTTTCGAGAGTTCCTTTTGTGTTTTTTCACGCACGAGACCTCGGAGACATCCTGGAGCCCTGTCCGTTCCCCCGTATAGTAGCTCTGTTAGGTTTTGCGCTCCATACGCTGTGGTAAGAGGCTGCTGTTCCGTCTCTGTGGGTTCTGCCCGCGCGCCTCCGCCCCACTCCGTAAAGAGCGAATTCTCCATCTCTCTCGCGAGGGACAGCCAACCAGCGGCCAGGAGAGGTCTCAGAAGCCAATCAGCAATCGTAAGAGCACTCAGAAGGGCGGGGTTTCAGGTGAGGAACGTTCTTCTCATGTTCAGATTCAGAGAGCGGACTCCACAGCATTTATTCCGGCTGTGGGTCATATTTTTACTGGCCGTATTTTTAGAAATAAAAGTCAGTCTCGCCCCTGAAACAGGATCGTTTTATTTGTATTTTTAAATCACGAATGGCCTTAAAAATATGCTGTATCTCCACCACAGGCTTACATCCCAATCAGACGACTCTTCAGCTCAAGTGTTTATGATAGTATAATTGATGTAGTCTACAGTAATGCTTCTGCATTGGATACCTCTAGCCTATTGGACATCCAGACTAAAGGCTGTGTTTGTCCATCCCGCCCACGACGGGCATAGAGAAAAGTTGTTGTCTTTTCTTCTGTTTGTTCTGGAATGCCTAGTCTCTCTATCTCTGTGTGTGTTTGCGTTGGTGGGACGCCCCGGATGCTGGATGAGATATCGACCGGGTATGGGAAGTCCATGCTCTATCAACCTAAACACAGGGGTGGTGGGCGGTAGGTTATAGAAGAGTCTCCTACTGGTCATGTATTCATATATCCAACCAAGAGAGAAAGAAAATAGAATAGAAGAACAACATGATCAGCGCGCTGCTTTTGTCTGTGCGCCCTAATTCAAGGCCACTTGGTTTTCCCTAAAGCGATTCCGTTCAGGGGTATTTAACGTGACAATTGATTGGTCGCAATAAAACGACCTCCACCCGCTGCCATACATGATGGATCGCTCCCCCGCCTGCCAGTGCGCTCGAGGTCAACCCTTCAGTAATTAGCGTGAGGGTGAAACAATGGCGCGAGCGCCCTGGAGCTGATGGTTATCAGGGTGGTGGAGATGGAGTGTGCTGTGTGTGTGCTGTGTGTGTGTGTGTGTGTGTGTGTGTTAATGTGTGTGTCTGTGTCTGAATGGTGGCTGGTGGGAAAAGCTGGGGTGGTTGAGCAGAAGGGAGATATTTTTTATTTATTTTCAAAACTCAATTGGAGTGTGAAGCCATAAACCTTCATTTGTCAAAGCCAACAGTAGAGTTAACAACAACTATTAAAAATATTCAGCCATCTGATGCATTTATTGTTCCCAATTAACAAAACATAAACCGTTAAAACATAATACCGATGTTTACCTAATATTACACAGACTGTATTACTATGGGACTGCTGTATTTACCAGGACACAAACACATGTTGTATAAGGGGTTATTTTTCTATCCTTTCAGGCAGTGAAAGGCAGTATACCCTGCAGACAGAAGGAGTGACACTAGTGTGAATCAGTCAACCGATAGCATCTCATGGCTCATTGCCCAATCCTTCAGTCCTTGAAGTAGGGTATTAATAGGGATGTGAACTCCTTGGAATGGCAAGTGTGTGTGTGTTGGAATGGCTGCTCAGAGAGACTGGGGTCCACAGATGATGGTTCCCTTCTGGTGCAGTTAGCTAGCTCACATTACGTTGCTGCAGCGTAAGAAGGGGCTCAGGGGGCTGTCAACAGTCTTCTCTCTCTACCCTCACCCTCTCCCATCCATCCCTCTACCCTCACCCTCTCCCCTCACCCTCTCCCATCCCTCTCTCTATCATGTTCTCCTTCCCACACTCCCCTCCCTCGCTCTCCACCAGCATACAGTGTTTAATGGCAGAATGCTACATACTCAAATTAAACAAATGACAAAAGAAGTTTACAAAATCACATCAGATGAACAATAGCCTAAAGAGATATAGTCAATATATCATTTCATTTGGAGTTTATTCCTTCTCTCTGTGCCCCCCCACCTCATTCTCAGCTCTCTCACTCTCACTCTCTATGTCAAACACACACACACGTGCACACACACACACACTCACACACACACACACACACACACACACACACACACACACACACACACACACACACACACACACACACACACACACACACACACACACACACACACACACACACACATACACTAAGAGAGAGCAGAGGAGAGAGAGAGACCTCTCCTCTTGTTGACCTTCTGAAAGGACAGCTGGATCTCTTCCTCTGACTGTAGCGTTTTTAATGTGTTGTAACTAAGTAACCCCATAATATGTGTCTCTGCAGGCCTGTTCACATGGTGATTTATCCTCAGTGTGTGTGCCTCAATGCATGCCTTTGTGTAGGGTATTTCTAGTGTGTCCCAGGCAGAGTGGAGCTGGAGTGGAGCTGGAGTGGAGCTGGAGCGGAGCTGGAGTGGAGCTGGAGTGGAGCTGGAGTGGAGCTGGAGCGGAGCTGGAGCGGAGCTGGAGCGGAGCTAGAATGGAGCGAGGAGCGGATCGTTCCCAATTTGACTGGAGGGCGGAGAGAGATTCCCAAAGGCTGGAGCGTCATCCTTCTCTCCCGCTCCAACTTGGCTCCAGTGGCGCTCACTTCACCAGCTCAGGGCGTGCCTTCCCAGCATGCATTTGTAGTCTACTTGTGCTGCTATATTATAGCCCCTTGCTTTAGCTACTGTCATGGAGTTCGCTAAATATTTTCAGCAAGAAACTGATCAAACACACAGGTGCTCAATCAAGGTGACTTACAAAGATGAGGACCAAGAGCAAGAGAGGGAGTGTGGTGATGCAGTGTCCACAACTAAAGAATCATTGTGGAATCTGAAAAGGCACGTATCACGAAAGCATGATGGTATACTCTGGCCAAACTGGTGTTTCTAAAAATCAATTCAAAGGCACTGAGCCTAATAAGGCATTTTATGTTGAATTTGTGTTTGATTCTAAGTAAGTCACAACCTATATGCACAATCTATAGACTGTAATGATTTAATACAACTAAATGTTGTTTAAATGCTGAGTGATTAATGTCCCTGACTCCCTACCAGCCTAGTGTGTTGCACTCGCAAACGCTTCACAATGTGTTTCTTTATCAGCTATAGCCTTGAAATAATATAAATAATATAGCCTAAATAATTCATTTTCGTTCCTTCTTAGGCTCCCTGTCTGACTCCTGACCTATTTAGAGTGTTTATATGCTGTTTAATATGATATTTGAAATGATGAGTGCTTCTTACGTTCACCTTTTCATGTTTATTATAATACTTTTCATTCAAATCATAGGGTTTGGTTTCAGTACTTCAAAACCAAACGGTAGGTCCAGGTAGTCACAGAAATGGAACGTGTTGGTTAAATTGCGATTTTAATCAATGGAGCGAATTTGGAGCAGCAGTTTATTTCTTCCTGTGTGCAAGGAGCGGGAAAGGAAGTGGAGTGCGGTTTGCGATCCAGCTCTCTCTCTCTGAACGTGTCTGTGGTGTTTACATAACAATTCCCAGTGTGTCGGCAGCACACAATTGTTTGTGCGTGTGCGTGTGTGTTTGTGTTTGTGTGTGCTCCAAGACATGGACTCTGCTGGGCTGTGGTGACACCATCAGGCGAGAATGTGGGACTCGTCAACCCCCTGTGTGTTTGGGGGGGGGGATGGGGGGGCTCAACAGTTTTTGGATGAGAGGTAGGGGGCTGAGAGGGGGAGGTATGGATTGGGGAGGATTGGTGTGTGTGTGGAGGGGTGAGGGGGGAGACACTAAAGGGGTCTACACAGTCAACACAGTCTACACAAACAGAGCCGACGGAGGTCCGTTTGCCTTGCTCTCCATGTAGTTCTACGTACATTTGTGCAACTGAAAAGGTGAAGGGCTGGGAGCAAACAGCCAGCTGTAGTGAGCGAGAATCTAGTGTGTGTGAGAGATAAAGTTTGTGTGTATGTGTGTGTGAGAGAGAGACAGAGACACAGAGAGAAACGGGGGGGGGGGGGGGGGAAGAGTGAAAGCTATAAACACTCTACAACTCAAAGCAGACAGCAGTAGATCTACTGTATGTAGCTGTGTGTGTTTGTAATATTTATCTGCTGTTTTCTCTGAGAGTTTGTTATTATTAGTTGGTTATTATTAGTGCTCCTCACTGGTTTCCTTGGCACCTGTCTCTTCCCTGTCTCGCTCCTCCTGCTTCCTGAAATAGCCCGTGTCTCGAGAGTGAGAGGAAACCGTCTCAGCCGTGGGAACACAGCACAGCACCACTGACAGCTAAAGTTTAGCCATCCTCAGAGCTCACGATCAGCTAGCCTCATAGCTAACACTCAGCTAGCCTTAGAACTAACATTCAGCTAGCCACAGAGCTAACAATCAGCTAGCCACAGAGCTAACAATCAGTTAGCCATCAAGCTAACACCCCACTTGCCACAGAGCAAACAGTCAGCTAGCCACAGAGTTAACTAGCTGCAATGCTAATGCTCTGCTCAGCTAGCCATAGATTGTGTTACAGGGCAAACCCGCAGCAAGACACAGAGCTATCTATTAGTATGTGTGTGTGTCAAGGCTTTAGCTGCATTAGCGGTAGGGGTTATTAGGCAGGTATCCAGTCCAGCCCCAGTACCAGAAGCCAGATCCAGGTCCTGAGTGCTGCTGAGAGCTGTGCTGGCATCTGGGCCTGGTGTCCTCTTCCCTTTATCACTGATACTACAGAGAGAGGGAGAGGCAGAGCGAGGCAACAACAAATGTAATCCCTTTTAGACAACTTCCTGGACAAAACGTCCCACTGTAATAGTGAAGGTGTAAACTTGGCAGTAGAAAACCTAAACAGTATATTTGACCTCTCAGCTTCCCTATCAAATGTAAAAATCTCAAACAGAAAACCAAAGAAAAGTAACAACAGTGACAAATGGTTTGATGAAGAATGCAAAAACCTAAGAAAGAAATTCAGAAACCTATCCAACCAAAAACACAGAGACCCAGAAAACCTGAGCCTACGCCTTCACTATTCTACGGAAAAATAAGGAACAGCACGTCAGAAATCAGCTCAATGTAATTGAAGAATCCATAGACTCTAACCACTTCTGGGAAAATTGGAAA